TAAGGTTTTTAGTCTTCGAGAGCTAACTATGGCCATCGAGGACTACGAAGCGCCCCGTGGCTGGCTTAAAAGTTCATTGCATGCCAGGAAGTATTTGTTATTGTTAGATTCAGACGAGGATGGACGTTGCATTGCTAAAATGGCTACAAAACGGACCTTTTGATGTCAAGCAGCTAAGACAAGAAGAGCTCTGATGCTGGAAGAGAGGGTAAAAGTGATCAAAATGAAAGACGGAGCAAGCAAAATAAAATACATTTTCCAAGAAATTGATGTAAGTGAAAGTGAATGCTGATCGTAAATTTCGCAATTTTTTCCCTTTTTTTCTTTCTACACTGACAATATGAAGTGTCAAATAAGTGTGTGCTCATACTTATGTACTATTGGAATAAAAATAGAGTACACAAACGTTTGTGTGTGCGTGTACACATACGTTTGTGTGTGTGGGTGTGTGTGTGCTTACATCTGAGATCAAATTTGCTACAGTGAAAAACCCCCTGTTGTGAAAAATTTCTTGCTGCAAACATGATTTCGTTGAAGAGGAGTTTCACTGTATTCCTTTTTGCATTTTTTTCCCCCGTAGAAGCTATCATCAGCTATTAGCTGAAAAACGCACTAAAATAATTGGTGTTTTTTCTGCACTGTCTAAAACGTTCTAACAAGTGGAAGCCAAATCCCTCTCTCAATAGCAAAGTATTCCAGTTGGGTGTGAAATCCACTGATGTGATCAATTTCGACAGCAGGGAGCACCTGTATCAGACTCACTCAGCTCTGTACTGACAACATCTTGGACACTGAACATCATGAAACTTATTCCAGACCTTCAGACCGCACAGTAACTACTTCTAATTGATTTCATTGGACTCGTACGGATTTTATTTTGTCATTTCAATTGTATTACTCTTAAGAGTATTTCTGCACTCTGCTTTTCCTTTTCTTGTTTTCGTTGTGGACACTGACGGAACTGCAAAATTTCCTTGTGGATGATACAATACTTCTATATTTATATGACGCTTTCACAACAGCTGCAGCTGTAACGAAGCGCTTTACAGTAAAATTAACATAAAATAACAATAATACAACAGAACAAACAACATAATAACATCGACAATAACACGATAATAATTGTGTTACAGTATATAAGTGGACTATACTAGCACGGTTGTAATGTAGACCCTCACGATGAATCCCGCCGAGCCTCATCCAAATACTACATCGTCTGGCATTCGTCCACCAATCTATTTCGTAATACTTTATTAATACTTTCAAGCGTGTCTTCGAATCCCGGGAAGGAGACAGTGAGATTTTTCTTTGGACGCAATCCCAACCTGAGCTTAGTCGGCTCGTGTAAAATGATTATGAGAGGAAAAATAGAACAAACCTGCCTTGTGTGCTTCATCTTGCTTCTTGAAAACAGCGACCAGTGTTTGACGTTGTCGCTCATTCTCCTCTTCAAGGCTCTCTTCTGCTCGACCAAGTCCCTCCTCGTACTCTGCTGACACTCTTGTGCACATTTACCCCTTCTTAGTTTACGATTACACTTGATCTCTGCTTGGCGACGCGTGGCTGACGAAGGCGTCTATTTTTCGCATCTATCAACAAAAAATTAGCAGCCACATCAGAACGGACCGACACGAAGAGCAAATTATGTTTAATTAATTAGAGGAGATAAATATAAACGGATTAGGCATCAACAAATAATAAAGGCGATATACTGATTTAATTAATTGTTCTGTCGCATTATTTTCCTTAACTCATTTTCCATATCCGGTAGAAAAGACATACTGAGTACAGGGTAGTGAGTTACTGCCTCCTTTGGTGTGGATGTGTCATTTCACGCTAAATCTTCTGGTACAGTCGTCCCACCTCCAGGAAATGGAGGACATCACCGGCTCTCTCGCATTATTGTTTCAATGTACAGTGTAATGTTTCATTGTGCTAATTTCCTTTAATAATTTCTTCGCTTTTTTTCCCCCGTGGAAATTAAAAGATGTAATGACACATTCCGACCCGAAGGAAGCGGTAATGCGTCAATATGATGCAATCGCCGTTTTTTTACTCTCCCGGAAGTAAAACAGAAAAGAAAACACATTGCCGAGACAGTCTGGATGAGTCCTCGTCCTTGCGTTGATTACAGCATCTTTTCCTGTTTATGTAGTTAACATTCCGTTTATATAACATAGCAAACACAAGTAGCTATTAATATTCTGATAAACTTGTCTTGGTGCACCTTAAAGCTTCGTAAACTATCTTAGCTTGCTAGCTGCAAAGTTAGCAACATATCGTTCAGCAGCGCACGAGTGTGAGTGTAAAGTGTTATGATTATCGTGTGAAAATGTGTAAAGTCGAAATGCTGAGAGCGTTGCTGAATCAGCGACTAAATGCGGCCGTTGAAGAAGTATTTGTAGTGTTTGAAAGAACGATAGCTGAGTACGAGGAGGAACTTTGTCGGACGAAAGAGGAGAACGAGCGGCAACGACAACTCCTGGATGCTGTTTTCAAGAAACCTCGACACGTACCAGGTTTGCTTGTCTTGTACTCGCATGTTTCGAAACAGTTTGAGAAGCACCACATTAAATTTTCTTTGCATTCTCCCGAAAAACATCGTATTGCGAAAAACATTACAGTTGTTACAGTAATTTAAACTGTCCAAGCCTACAACAATATTCACTGGTTAAAGATATTTTTTGTTTTATGGGACCAAACTCAATTATAGGACATCAGGTGAGTACCTTATCTGCCTCTTATTACTTATAATTACACTGTACCTCTCCCAGTAGACCTCAGGGGTGCCAGGCATGTTGCGCCACAACATGAAAGCCCACAACTCTAAATTTTAAATTGCCTTTGTACTATAAAGTCCCTTTAAAAATCGATCGCCTAAAAGTTTGCATTATAGTGGTGGTAGAAATGATGAACCAATATGTAGATATGGTTTACTGTATTCATATTTAGTGGTTCTACAAAAACAATGTGAATTAATTGAGCAGTTTGACTCGACCAAACCATGTGTGTTTGTCCGCTTATGTCCTGCAGATGTCAGTGAAGAAGGTCTGAATCCAGAACAGCAGGATCGGAGCTCCAGGGTGGAACAGGAGGAGCCGGAGCCCCCCTACATTAAAGTGGAAGAGGATGGAGAGCATCTTCAAGGGCTGGATTTCTCAGTGTATCGTGTCATTGTGAAGAGTGAAGATGATGAAGACAAAGGTCAAGGGGAAGAAGGTGCAAGCAGCAGCTCAAGTCGTCACAAGACAACAAAAGGTGATGGAGGATCACAAGCAGACAGCCGCTTAGCGCCATTGTCAGATAGTGGTGACACAATGTCTGACACTGACGATGAACACTCTAAAAATGATGTGACAGGACACACTGATGACAAACACGTGAAATGTACTCAGTGTGACAAAACGTTTGGAAACAAGCGGAATCTGAAACGACACATGAGATGTCACACCGGAGAGAAACCCTTCCTGTGCTCAGATTGTGGCAAAAGATTCTCTCGGAAGGATTATTTAATAACGCACACCAGAAAACACACAGGAGAAAAACCTTTTTCCTGCTCAGTCTGCAACTCAAGTTTTACTTTTCAGTCGGCATTATTTCAACACATGGAAACCCACTTTGGGGAGAAACCGCAATGTCCTCAATGTGACAAAACCTTTGGCAACAAGAGAAACCTGATAAGACACATGAGGCGTCACACGGGAGAAAAACCATGCATCTGCTCATTCTGTGGTGAAAGATTCTCCCTGAAGAGAAGTTTGATCAGACACATCAGAACACACATTGGTGAGAAAACCTTCTCCTGCTCCATCTGTAACACAAGTTTCTGCTATCAGTCCGGTTTGAGTAAGCACATGAAGAAACACACCGGCGACGGCGTTGAGCTCAAGTGTGTATGATTTGCGACCCTTTCATTTTGAACAACATCAAAGTGATGATGTACCAAGACAAAGGTAACTGGTATGGAAAGCAGTTTGAGCATTTATTCATTGCTCCTGTTATCCAGTGAAAGGTCCATGTGCAAGTACGCTCTTTGTCCTCCCTAGTAGGACAAGATTGGTGCACTAGTGTGTACATGTACCCAAACACTGATGCATGTGAATATTAGCCAGATAATATGTATTTATATTGTATATGTGGACTACTGTGGTATGTTGTGATGCACTCAACCGGTGTTATAGTCGTGGAGATCTGCAGTAGCTTTCTGTTCTTGATACTGTACATGTATTCTCATGCTTAATGTGTGTACTTCCAGGCACTCATCAGTATAAGTAAGCCATCCCTCATTTACTGCCACAACAATGCCATAATGTTGTTCAATAAAGACGTCAACTCTTGGGCAAATATAAGCTTGGAACTGATCTTTATTTTTCTTTTGGGGGCAGGCAATACTACATATGTACATACTTTTTCAGAAAGACAAATACAAATTAGAAGATGCAACCCCAAATGTGCAAAGTAGACTTAATTTCCAGTACCACCACATACGATTTGAAAGTTTTTTTTTTACTGTATGTAAGGAGATTTTTAAGTTCCAATACTTCAGTATTATTTTGCTGATTACTCTCGAACCCTATATTTGAAAGCTTATCTGTACTTTCTACTCCTTAAGTTGTTAAACTAGGCATGCTACTTTTTCTATAATCCGTGGATGACCACACAAGGTATAAAAGGTAGAGGGGGGAGGGGTTGAGTCAACCGTAGTTGAGATCTTCACTGGCAGAGATGTTGGGGACTTGGAAGGTGGAAAAAACGCATGAACAACGATGGCAACAGATTCAAAGAAGCAAGATATTTCCCATCCATGGCCTTGTTGAAGAGACTTGTTACAACAGATAGGTGGAGCCAACAGAAGGTGATGAGGCCAGTGTGGTGGATCACAAGCAACCTTTTAGCGCCAGTGTCAGATAATGATGACATAACGTCACGCTCTACTGACACCGACGATGATGATGACGATGATATATTGAGCACCGTTTAATTTTGTTGTCCACAAATGAGTTTACATTTGCACGATTGAGTAATTCTTTTAGAAAGCATGCTTGCCCACTTGCCATCCTGTGTGGAGTTTGCATGTTCTCCCCGGGCCTGCGTGGGTTTTCTCCGGGTCCACATACCAAAAACGTGCATGGCAGGCTGATTGAACACTCCAAAATTGTCCCTAGGTGTGAGTGTGAGCAGGATGGTTGTGCGTCTCTGTGTGTCCTGCGATTGGCTGGCAACCGGTTCAGGATCTTCCCCTGCCTACTGCCCGAAGACGGCTGGGATCGGCTCCAACATCCCCCGCGACCCGGGTGAGGATAAGCAGATCGGTAAATTAATGAATGAATGAATGTATTTGTCATGTCATTATCCTTCGTGACCGTAGTTTGTCCAAATGGAGCTTCCGTACAATCTCCTCCACAGCTCTCTATGTACTCTTTGGCGAAATATTTTGGCGAGCCGAACGCGCTTCAGTAAAAACAAAATAACTCTTACTGAATTACAACTAAACGTAGTGAAGCCTCCACACAGTACGACCCAAAAACTTCTTTACTCGACTTAAGTATCAAGAATTAAGTCCTCGTGTTTGGATGAACTCGTCTCGGTTACATGGAGGCGTCTCCTTGTAGCTTAGCTTAGTTTGCTAGCTGTGAACAAAGAGACTCGTTTGTTAGCATCAAACTAGATCAAGTGTGAGTGTCTATTATTGTGTTATCGTGGGGAAATGTGTGCCAAAATTGAGAAAGAAGAATATGAGGGTGAACTTTCTCGGACAAAAGAGAACAAGCGACGACGTCAACTACTGGACGCTGTTTTCAAGAAGCCTCAAATTGTCTTCCAGAAAGCAGGTTCGTTTGCTCTTTACTTACACTTGTTTAGTAACAGTGCCATGCAGTGCAGTGCAGAGTAAAATCAAGAGAAAGAAGTAATTTAATTCGGGATAATTTACTTCCTGATTACTTCATTTCAGCAAAAGTATTTTCCCATAAAACTGCAAAATTTGACTTTGCAAATTGTCTTAAAACAAGTTAACATTGCTAAGCTTGGCCCCCTCAGAAGTCTTCGAAATAGTGTACTTCTTCTACACATACGTGTAGAATTGTGGTGTTTCTTTTTTTAAGTTAAACTTATTCATACACCGAAATACTCAATTATACTCGATAACTATTACATAACTGTATTAAAATTTATAAGGAAATATATGCTTGAAGTGAAATGCTCTTATAAAAAAAAAACTGCCTCATAAGAAAGAATATCTTGGCAAACAGAGAACAAACATACGTTGATTTGACATACTGTATTTTTAGCTGGATTTGCGTTTATGCTGTGGGGAGGAAGTTGCAGGCTGAACTGGTCCCTTATTGCACAGGTGTTGAAACTGCCGATTTCCCGATTAACGTCTGCTTCCTCCACCTCTCTCAAGTCTGTTGATTTCCTTCTCGAATGGAGTCTTCTGTCTCTCTTTGTTGAGTGTTTTTGTGTCACTTGTTGCTTCGCTGCAGAGTTGGAGCCCTCTTGAAAGAAGACACCATCTTCTGACCAAGCTTCCTCTCTCAATGTCTTTTGTACTCATTGATTTGCACATGACGTACTTTCCTGAAACTTTCTACAACACTTAAAATCATCCCTCCATAAGTCAGACGGGAATTACTTTTTATGACGTAACCAGTAGCTGCTTGTCTACATTGGTGGCGCTGACGCGAAACAAGCTTCTGCTTTCTGTGCAGACGGCACAAGTTTGACTCCCAGACAGTGTTTTCAGTTATTGCTGCTGAATACCCTGCAGTAGTGCCCTACGGCCACACTTAACTACAACCTTGAATAAGAACTGCGCATATTTGTTCTTGATCAACAAGGATGATGACATTTATTTCTGAATATATTGTGTATGAGTATCCCACATTATTATATGTGTGGCATAGCTTTGGCATTGTGTGTATGATCATGGCGCGCTGGTAGCTGATGTCGCCATACTCCATCAAGGCTTGCTCTTAGGCCCACACTATTTTCGGGAATTCCTACACTAACTTGGAAGCAATATCGTGCGTATTTGATTAGTACAATTGATAGCACAATAATTATTGGCCTCCTTGAAAATGGCTTATTTTGTTCTTCCTATTCCAAAGAATATAAATGGGATTTCCAATCCTTGCAATTATACATGCTGTTGATCAACATTGGCCAAACAATCCGTGAAGATTGAATCAAGGCACTTGAACTATTTTTCTTTGTTGTAGACATTTCACCTTTAATCCAAAAGGCTTCTTCACTTCTCAGTTCTAGGTATGGAGTCCCTATATTTCTTCCTCGTGAATGTGCTCCCTTGGGATGGTCGACATGAGGGTGGTATTGCTCGGTGTGGTTAGTGAAATGAGCGTCCTGCATCCCGTTGAATGATGCGATTTCGGGGAGGGGGGAGAATATGTCAGGACATCGTTATAAGTAGGCATTAGCTGATGCATAAATGTCTTCTTTTACACCTCTTTCAAACTGAAATGTCTTCAACAAACGAAGAAAAGTCCACTTAGCTTGTTTAAACCTTTGCAGATTACCAGGACCTTGATGACTGAGAATCTACACAGACATTGCTGAAACAAATACGACACAACAATGGAATGGTGGCATGAGATTTGACTTTTGTTTGTCGTCTTGTTTCCTGTAGATGTCAGTGAATGTCTTTGTCCAGAGCAGCCGGAGCCAGAGTCCCCTGTTAAAGAGGAAGAGGAGGAGAGAGCGCCTTCTTGCGTTACAGAAGAGAAGCAGTCACAACTTCCCCACATTAAAGAGGAAGAAGATGAGACTGATATCACCAATTTTCCCTTGACTGATGTCATTGTCAAGTGTGAAGCTGATGATGAAGGCGAAGGTCATGGTGACAACTGTGGAGGATCACAAGCAGACAGCCTTTTACCTCCACTATCAGACAGTGACGACCAAACGTCTCACGCTTGTGATACTGATGACGAGAGGCCATCAAAAGGTGACAGGACCCGTCATGCTGACAACAAACCCTGGAAATGTTCTCAGTGTGAGAAAACCTTTGATGCCAAGTATACTTTGAAAGTACATATGAGAATACATACGGGCGAGAAGCCTTTTGCCTGCTCAGTTTGTGGTAAAACGTTCACTCAGAGGGGACATTTGGGAACACATGCAAGAAAACACACCGGGGAAAAACCTTTTGTTTGCTCCTTTTGCGGGAAACGATTCTCTGGAAAAGGAAACTTAAGAACACATACAAGAACACACACTGTGGAGAAACCTTTTGCCTGTTCAGTGTGTGGTAAAAGATTTACTATCAAAGGAAACTTAAGAACACACACAAGAACGCACACTGGGGAGAAACCTTTTGCATGCACAGTTTGTGGTAAAAGATTCTCTCAAAAGCCAAATTTGGTCACACATGCCAGAACTCACACCGGGGAGAAACCTTTTGCATGCTTAGTTTGTGGTACAACCTTCTCTACAAAGGATGGTTTGATCAGGCACACTAAAACACACACTGGAGATAAACCTTTTCCCTGCTCAGTTTGTGGTAAAAGATTCTCTCAAAAGCCAAATTTGGCTGCACACGCAAGGACACACAGTGGAGAGAAACATTTGTCTCATTTTCTGGGAACAGATTCAAGATGAATACAATTGGTGGGCCGACTTTTTTTTTTCCCTTCAGTGCGACACCAATTATTGGTAATCAAGGAAGCCGATAACCAATATTTGTCGTGGAAAATTATTTGCGTCAATATTTTTAATACAAGTCCCAACATTTTGTTGTAATGCATTTTGTCACATGTTTATCAAACAGCTTTTTAGACTTGCTTCAAAACAGACATCTTTGTTCTTAAGTCTAACTAAAAATGCAGGGAGCTTGCAGGCTCAGCGGCATGTCTTCTAAAGTTGAATGAAAACATGAATAAATAAATTGCTGCCTAAAGTTTTCTACAGTAAATAAAGTTTTATGAAATTTCAATATCATTATACTTTTAATCTTTCACTTCTCACTCATTATTATTATCTTTGTTTAAAGTTCAAAATCAAGAGTCCCCAGTCCTCTATGCAGCGACAGACCAGCAGGTCACCAATGTGAAGTCCACCTGAGAAATTAACTTCTCAAAATAACCCAGTTTGGGATGGATCACTTAATTGTCAGTCAGATTAAAAAACAAACAAACAAACAAAAACAGCATGTACTGACCTACGCCAACATACCAAATATCAGCCCCAATAATCAGCTCGGTCGCTAATTGGTCAATCACGAATGAAGACAAATTCAATAGGGCAAACAAAATCATACAGGTGGTTAGGGCATCCGCCACACAGTTCTGGAGTTGTGAGTTTGAATCTGGGTTCTGGCCCTCCTGTGTGGAGTTTGCATGTTCTCCCCATGCTCACGTGGGTTTTCTCTGGGCACTTAAGATTCCTCGCACTTTCCAAACATGCTTCTTAGGTTCATTAAGGGCTGTGTTGTGCCTAAGTGTGAATATGAGTGTGAATGTTTGTTTGCCTGTGCTCTGCCAATTGTCCAGGGTATACACCGCCTCTCATCCAAAGTCATCAGGGATACCCATGAGACAAGTGGGGACAAGCAGTTTACAAAATAGATGGATGGATAGGGCAGAAACAGTTTACACACTCAGTTTGTTGTAAAAGGTCGCCAAGTAAAGATAAGACCAAGAGACACAAGTAAAGGGCCAAATTGACTCTGGTGGAACTTTGACTCTTTGTGGTATGATGGAAAAATGTATATGCCATCTTAAATAAAATACAAGTCAAACAATGACCGTGTTCAGTATTTTTCTTTGTTCCATTTCTATGTATGTCGCAGCATTACCTGATTCTTGAGTTATTTACATGTGTGGTCAGAAGTTTATATCCACTCAACATGGGCATGACAGTCAAGTGAAATACGGCTTTACTGGCCTTATAATTGCAATGCTGCCCATTACAGGTCCACCGGTACCTTTGTGCACAGGGGTTACCAGCACACCAATTCCTGTGAGTGCCTTCCTACCCACCTCAGTGGGCCAAGTCGGATAAAAATAGTTTCACTTTCACTTCACTCAATAAGCGAAGAACATCTTTGAGCTGGCTTGTCAATGCTTGGCTGTTGTATTCTGATCTCCCCTTCTCCTAAAAAAATAGAACGTACCATGAATGTTCGCATGTGGTTTGTCCAAACTGGATTCCCGTACAGCTCCTGCTACAGATTTGCTCCTGTGTCATTTATAAACGTCCGTGTTCTGTGTACGGTTCGTTAAAATAAATGATTTTTACGGATTATTACTGAACGTATCAAAACTTCGACACAACATATCCACCCTTATTCTACTACTGGTGTAAAACATAATGCGTTATATTTTTGTATAAACTCGTCTCGGTGGACGTTGAAGCTTTTCTAACTAGCTTAGCTTAAATTGCTGGCCGCTGTTAACAACAGATCGCTAAACAGAGGGAAAAGTACACATTGCTGTGATCATTGTGTGAAAATGTGTACAAAAATTATGAAAGAAGAGTATACGGAGGAACTTTCACAGTCGAAAGAGGAGAACGAGCGACAACGTCAACTACTGGACTCATTTTTCTCAAAACCCGAACCTGTCTTACACGGAACAGGTTTGTTAGCGTTCAAGATCACTTGTTTAGTAACTACTTTCTGTTCTTACCAAATGTTCTGTGTTTGTAGACTTTTGTGCTTGCCAGCGTACTTCCGAGTGATAGAATGTGAGTGACTGACTTTACACCCGAATACGAGGACAAACTGTGTTTGTACTGCCAGATATAGCCCGAAAGTTTTATTGTTATTTCTATCTAATTAACAATAAATTGATAAACTAATCTAGGGTCGTTAAGGGACGTTGTAAATAGACTCGGTGCGACTGAAACCCAATTTATTTTCTTCGTCCGGTCGTGCAGCGAGTCCCCAAATGTGAGAGTTGACAGTGATTTTATGTCTTATAATGTTGGTGCTAAATAGAATCTAATAGTGTTTTCGAGTTACTTGAGGTGTCATGTTGACTTCGGCCTTATGAAACTTGGCATAAACGTAGCACCTTTGCGCTGCCACCGAATGAAAACAAGACCGTTGTCACATTGGCAGTTTTACAAATGTCTCGCCACCCCACTTGGCAGCGTTATCAATCTATCAATACTACATTTAAATATTTATGATAAATTTTACTCCTCTTGTCTCTGTAGTGGTTAGAAACATTTCAATCACCAGTTTAGAATTTACTGAGCCTCTTTACTTCCGACACCATATCCGAAACACACAAAATAGGTGATCTGGAACAAAACTATCGGGAAATCTCTAAGTTCGGGACTGTTACATTTATTCATCACAGAATCCTGGCTACACGTTCAGATTCCCCACACTTCAGTGCGACTCTACTTAAGGGTAACCGTGGCACGAAGTGAAATTTCAACACTAGATGACGGTGTCTAATAATGCACAAACTACAATCAATGACAACTTTATTGCATGCTTGCAACCCAAGTGAGGATATGTAGTTCAAAAAATGAATGATAACGCTAGTACACTGCACTGTGTCATTACTGTCATAAAATTATCAATACTTGTTGTAATACAAACTGCCATGGCTCGTTGATATGCAGCTATGGTGAGTGATATTTTTAATCTTTTTTTTTTAAATTTTTTTTTTATTGTCGTCCTTGAAAATGTCTTTCAGACATCAGTGAAGAATATCTTTGTCCTGAGCATCAGCAGCAGCCACAGCCTCCTCACATTAAGGAAGAAGAGGAGGAGGAAGGGCCCCTCTGCATTGACAACAAAGTGGACAATGATATCACCCAGTTTCCATTGACTGGTGTTCCTTTGAAGAGTGAAGATGATGACTACAAAGGTCAAAGTGAGGAAAAAGTAGTGGCTGAGCTTCCAAGCAGCAGCTCAAGTCAACACATGACAACAGTAGATGATGGAGACACCCTTGGAGAATCACAAGCACATGCCCTCTTAGCTCCACTATCGGATCATGACATTACATATGATGATGATGATGATTGTGATGATCAACACTCAAAAGGTGATCTGACAGGTCACAGTGACTCCAAAAACGTGAAATGCTCTCAGTGTCACAAAACGTTTTTCAACAAGTCATCGTTGAAAAGACATATAAGAACACACACTGGAGAGAAACCTTTTTCCTGCTCAGTGTGTGGTCTTAAGGTAACTCAAAGGAGTAGTTTGACAGACCACATGAGAAAGCACACTGGAGAGAAACCTTTTGCCTGCCCACTCTGCAAATTAAGTTTCGGGAGTCGTTGCTATTTAAGAACACACATACGATTGCACTCTGGGGAGAAACCTTTTTCTTGTGCGGTTTGTGGTAAAGGATTCTCTCTGAAGGGAGATTTAAGAACACACACAAGAACACACACCGGGGAGAGACCTTTTGTCTGCTCAATTTGTGGCAAAAGGTTCACCCGGAAGGGACATTTGAACACACACACAAGAACACACACCAGGGAGAGACCTTTTTCCTGCTCAGTTTGTGGTCAAAGATTCTCAGAAAAGGGAAGCATGATAAAACACACAAGAACACATACTGGAGAGAAACCTTTCGCCTGTTCAGTTTGCGATCAAAGATTCTCTGACAAGGGAAACTTGAGGACACACACTAGAACACACACCGGAGAAAAACCTTTCTCATGCTCAGTATGTGGTAAAAGATTCTCTGAAAAGAGAAACTTAAAAACACACACACAAACACACATGAGGAAGAAACTTTTTACCAGTTCAGTCTGCCATATTGGTTCAAAAGTGGAAGACCTTCATCATGAGAAGCAGTAACAGCAGTCATCCCATATTAAAGAGGAAGAGGACCATGATATCACCAGGTTGCCATTGACTGTTGTCATTGTTAAGTGTCAAGAAGATGATGATCATGTGAAAGTTTTTCAATTGAAGAGTTTAATCCAAATAGATGGTTTGACGGACAGGTATTAAAACAAAACTAAATACAACTCAGTAGTGTATTATGCTTTATAATATGTATTTGTTTGAAATCAACCACTCCCACTTTTTTTTTTATTGTCGTCCTTGAAAATGTCTTTCAGACATCAGTGAAGAATATCTTTGTCCTGAGCATCAGCAGCAGCCACAGCCTCCTCACATTAAGGAAGAAGAGGAGGAGGAAGGGCCCCTCTGCATTGACAACAACGTGGACAATGATATCACCCAGTTTCCATTGACTGGTGTTCCTTTGAAGAGTGAAGATGATGACTACAAAGGTCAAAGTGAGGAAAAAGTAGTGGCTGAGCTTCCAAGCAGCAGCTCAAGTCAACACATGACAACAGTAGATGATGGAGACACCCTTGGAGAATCACAAGCACATGCCCTCTTAGCTCCACTATCGGATCATGACATTACATATGATGATGATGATGATTGTGATGATCAACACTCAAAAGGTGATCTGACAGGTCACAGTGACTCCGAAAACGTGAAATGCTCTCAGTGTCACAAAACGTTTTTCAACAAGTCATCGTTGAAAAGACATATAAGAACACACACTGGAGAGAAACCTTTTTCCTGCTCAGTGTGTGGTCTTAAGGTAACTCAAAGGAGTAGTTTGACAGACCACATGAGAAAGCACACTGGAGAGAAACCTTTTGCCTGCCCACTCTGCAAATTAAGTTTCGGGAGTCGTTGCTATTTAAGAACACACATACGATTGCACTCTGGGGAGAAACCTTTTTCTTGTGCGGTTTGTGGTAAAGGATTCTCTCTGAAGGGAGATTTAAGAACACACACAAGAACACACACCGGGGAGAGACCTTTTGTCTGCTCAATTTGTGGCAAAAGGTTCACCCGGAAGGGACATTTGAACACACACACAAGAACACACACCAGGGAGAGACCTTTTTCCTGCTCAGTTTGTGGTCAAAGATTCTCAGAAAAGGGAAGCATGATAAAACACACAAGAACACATACTGGAGAGAAACCTTTCGCCTGTTCAGTTTGCGATCAAAGATTCTCTGACAAGGGAAACTTGAGGACACACACTAGAACACACACCGGAGAAAAACCTTTCTCATGCTCAGTATGTGGTAAAAGATTCTCTGAAAAGAGAAACTTAAAAACACACACACAAACACACATGAGGAAGAAACTTTTTACCAGTTCAGTCTGCCATATTGGTTCAAAAGTGGAAGACCTTCATCATGAGAAGCAGTAACAGCAGTCATCCCATATTAAAGAGGAAGAGGACCATGATATCACCAGGTTGCCATTGACTGTTGTCATTGTTAAGTGTCAAGAAGATGATGATCATGTGAAAGTTTTTCAATTGAAGAGTTTAATCCAAATAGATGGTTTGACGGACAGGTATTAAAACAAAACTAAATACAACTCAGTAGTGTATTATGCTTTATAATATGTATTTGTTTGAAATCAACCACTCCCACCTCCCCTTATCTGAAAATGCATTGCACTCATAATGGGCTACCACACTCAAAAAATATTTCCCAGGGGGTACATCAGTAAAAAAAAAAAATGTTGAGAACATTGGTCTGTCTGTTAAACAAAATGTTAACACGAAGCATTGAAATTTCTACTTGATTACATACCATTTTAAATCTCAAATGCTGAATGAGTGTGGCACACACCATTTGCATTCAGATATTAAAGGAACGAAGGATACCAAATTACATTATTCTGTTGTCTTTTGTGAGCCGTCAGTGTTGTCGTTAAAGGGAGAACCCCATATTTCATTATCCTGATGTCTTTTGTGTGCTTTCAGTGTTGTCATTGTGATAGAATTACCAATATAATTGCTTATCCATTTGATTTCTTGAAATCGGATCTCCACTGGCAATCACTCGTCTTCGTTATGATGGTTTTACTGTTTAGCATTTTTGAATTTGTCCAACGGGGCTGCCGTACACCTTCAGCTCGGCACGGTTTGGCTAACTAAAGGAACTTGTAATACAGCTCCATCAATTTAATCCTTAGTGTGCTGAATCCTCGACACAGTACGCCCCATTACTGCTTTACGGGTCTTAAACATAATTAACTCCTCGTTTCACGGTAAACTTGTCTCGGGGCACTTTGAAGGTTCTCCGCTTGGCTTAGCTTACCTTGCTAGCTACTAACAAAGTGGCTTGTTTGTTATCAGCACATCGCTAAGCGCAGATCAAGTGTTGTCATTATCCTGTGGAAATGTGTGATCAAAGAGTGAGAAAAGACTACGAGGAGGCCTTTTCTGCAACGAAAGAAGAGAACGAGCGACAACATCAACACTTGGACGCTGTTTTCAAGAACCCTCGAATTGTGTTGCACAGAGCAGGTTTGTCCATGTCTGATTCTGACTTGTTAATTATCCATCCATTATCTGATCCACTTGTCGTCACGAGGGTCGCGATTGAAATCTACTGATGTATGTTAAATATCTGTCTGATTTCGATTGTGAGGATAGACATACCGGTAAGTGATGCAATAATAAACTGACTACTAAAACACAGTATATAAATTTCTGTCCCTGCTCTGTCTCACTCTCTCTGTACCATCAACCAAAAGGCATATAACCATTGCGTTTTAGATCAAATAAGACATAATCTGATACGTTGATCCAATTTGCATCATTAAAGGATAAAAATGTAATCTAAAAGGCCTACTCATTCCTTAACCAGGCACAAAAAAACAATCATATCCATGCGGCCACTCGTCTGTCTCTGCACACACACACACACACACACACACACACACACACACACACACACACACACAAAAAGCCACCACATAATCTATATACAAAGTCCGATGTGGATTTGATGATGTCCCAGTATGCAGTACAATGAATACCAAATAAGGTTTTTGTCATACTGAAAGTTGCAAATTTTGTTCTTCAATTTATTGAACTGCTGAAGCGACATAAATGTGATTTGCTGGTAAAAATTACCTAAAACATTTATTAACAGTAATACTCAACATGGGCAGCCCGGTGGGCAACCGGTTAGTGCGTCTGCCTCACAGTGCGGAGGTGCAGGGTTCGATTCCGGCCTTCCTGTGTGGAGGTTGCATCTTCTCCCCGTACCTCTCCAGGTACTCCGGTTTCCTCCCACATTCCAAAAACATGCATGGCAAGCTGATTGAACACTAAATTGTCCCTAGGTGTGAGTGTGAGCACGGATGGTTGTCCGCCTATGTGTGCCCTGCAATTGGCTGGCAAACAGTTCAGGGTGTACCCCGCCGACTGCCCGAAGACAGCTGGGATAGACTTTTCCAAACCATGTCTTTGTCTTGTTCTGTCTTGCAGACATTGGTCAAGAATATCTTTGTCCCGAGCAACAGAAGCAGCCACAGCATCCTCACGTTAAGGAAGAGGAGGAGGAGGAAGGGCCCCTCTGCATTGACAACCAAGTGGACAATGATATCACCCAGTTTCCATTGACTGGTGTTCCTTTGAAGAGTGAAGATGATGACGACAAAGGGCAAAGTGAGGAAAAAGTAGTGGCTGAATCTGCAAGCAGCAGCTCAAGTCATCAGATGACACCAGTTGGTGATGGAGGCACCCTTGGAGAATCACAAGCAAATGCCCTCTTAGCGCCACTATCGGATTGTGACGTTGCAGCTGATGATAACGATTATGATGATGAACACTCGAAAGGTGACTACAAAAATGTGAAATGTTCTCAGTGTAACAAAACGTTTTTCAACAAGTCATCGTTGAAAAGACACATAAGAACACACACTGGAGAGAAACGTTTTTTCTGCTCTGTATGTGGTATTACAGTAACTCAAAAGTGTAGTTTAACAGATCACATGAGAACGCACACTGGAGAGAAACCTTTTGCCTGCCCAGTGTGTAACTTGAGTTTTGGGAGTCGTTCGTATTTAAGAACACACACACGAATACACACTGGAGAGAAACCTTTTGCCTGCCCACTCTGCAACTTAGGATTTGCGAGTCGTTCGGATTTAAGAACACACACAAGAACACACACTGGGGAGAAACCTTTTGTCTGCACAATTTGTGCAAAACGATTTTCTCGGAAGGGACATTTGAATGCACACAGAAGAACACACTCTGGAGAGAAACCTTTTTCCTGCACAGTTTGTGGGCTTAAGGTAACTCAAAAGAGTAGTTTAACTTATCACATGAGAACACACACTGGAGAGAAACCTTTTGCCTGCCCACTCTGCAACTTAAGTTTCGGGAGTCGTTCATATTTAAAAATACACACACGATTACACACCGGGGAGAAACCATTTTCTTGTTCAGTTTGTGGTAAAAGATTCTCTCTGAAGGGAGATTTAAGATCACACACAAGAACACACACTGGGGAGAGACCTTTTGTCTGCTCATTTTGTGGCAAAAGGTTCACCCGGAAAGGACATTTGAACACACACACAAGAACACACACTGGTGAGAAACCTTTTGACTGCTCAGTTTGTGGTCAAAGGTTCTCTGAAAAAGGAACCCTCAAAAAACACACAAGAACCCATACTGGAGAGAAACCTTATGCGTCTTCACTTTGTAATCAAAAATTCCCTGAAAAAGGAACCTTATTAACACACACAGAAACACACACGAGGAAGAAACCTTTTATCAGTTCAGTCTGCAACATTAGTTCTGAACTGGAAGACCTTTGTCCTGAACAGCAGGAGCCGCAGTCTTCCTCCATTAAAGAGGAAGAGAAGAAAGATGATCTCATCAGATTGCCTTTGAATGGTGTCATTGTGAAGTGTCACGAAGATGATGATGATAATATGACAATGTTTTCTGATGTCAACACAGAGTGGAAATGACACAGAGAGAAACTTTTTAGCTGCTCAGATTGTGGAAAAAGATTCACTCAGCAGAGACATTTGACCGAGTGCACAAGAACTCACATGAGGGCGAAACCGAAAAGGTAGTTAGGACATTTATTTCGGCAACCATTGCAGTTCATTGCGCTAATTGTTTGGAGTTGTTTTTTTGGTTTCATTTTTATTTTGTGTGATTTGATTGAATTTGTGTTTTTTCTTTCAACCGTAAAATGTCTTATGTTTGTATTGGAAAATAGTATTTTATATCGTATGCAATAACTTTATTTTAACTGTGAAGCACTCTGTGAGTCTCTCGACGAGAAGTGACTTATAAAAGTAAAATAAAAGTGATTTACCTTTGCCTGTTGATTCTGCAACTTCAGTTCAAGATAGGAAGATTTCTCGGGCACAGCACAATTCTTTCAAAGTCACAATTTGACAAGACACATGAGGTCACACTGGTGAAAAACCATTCAGTTTCTGTGTTTGTGTGTGTGTGTGTGTGTGTGTGTGTGTGTGTGTGTGTGTGTGTGTGTGTGTGTGTGTGTGTGTGCGTGTGTGTGTGTGTGTGTGTGCATGTGTGTGAGTGTGTGAGATCAAACATTCTATGATAAGTAGCGTCACATGAAGGAATAAGTGCGTTTGTGAGAAGTGCCGCCGTAAATGAAGCAAAAAACAACCTCAAGAAAGCTATCAATGTCTGTCAATGCCTTTCATAAAAACTTAGACACAAGTTAGTTTTTACTCTTTCGAATGAAACCATGCTTTCCTTTTGCAGCAAGGAAAAGGTTGGCGCAAAGCACTTTCTTATGAGTGTTGCATTATCGTGAACTCATATATATATGCATTCTTCTTAAAAAAAAAGAGAGATAATGTTTACCACTCAGCCTTATGCTTCATTACATGTGCACCAGCTCGAACCCACCACTGCACTCTGTATGAAATTGTATGATGGTCCTCCTCTTTCTACCTGAGAAAAAACTCTTATGGTGACGCCTTTACATTTAATATGTGCTTTCTTTCCATTTTTTTTCTTTCTTGATATGTCAAGAACCAGATAAGCAGAACATTACAAACAACAGAGCTATACACATCACATACACATATGTCCTTTTCAACATGCTGGAAAAGGGGGTAGGAAGAAGTACAACTCATTTAATTCTACGCCTATTTCAGTATTCACCACTCACTGACAATGATGATGATTCTGATTCACACAAGTCCTGGAAACAAATGCTTAAAACAAAAGCATTTTGTTTTTAAACGTAATACCACCTCCCAACACATACTCCGTGTACCATCCTACTTTCAGTGCTTCATTCATATCCACACAATGTCAGCCTCATAAACAAAATATTGTGTATAATCAAACTGTCAGGGGCTCCCTTGGCAGTCACCCAGCCAACAGGCGTGGCCTCGACTCGAGGGTGACGGCTTTGGCCAGAGCACACGGATGCCGGAGTGTGATGACAACCGAGGCATGTCTTTTTCTCGAACTGTACTTTTAACTTTGATGCTGGATACTATGAAGATTGGGACTTAATCGACATTGGATTACAGTACAAATTGATTTGTTTTAGCGACTTTCCACCGCACTATCAACATGCTGGATTGTAAAACACCCATGCGCCCAGCCCCATTGTAAATGTTCCTGGAAGAATTTTAAAAGGCTTTTATCATGCAAAATCAACTTTTTTTGTTTCAGCCAATTTGAAGTGCACAAAGCTCCACAGAAACCCCAAAAACGTTTGCAGAAGATTTTTGATTGACACATAAAATGCTTAAATTAATTTCTTTTGGTGCTTAATTTTCATTGAAACAGCAAGTGTGCATGTGAAAATTGCCAAACAATGCCCGCAGAAAAACAGAACATTTGTTGTCAGGAAATTCAAAGTTTTATTTTTCCCACTCTTCACCGCCCAGGAGCTTTCCAACAAGCCCCACTTGTAGGGCTGGCTCCGGAGGGCGGCCTCCATGACCCCAGTTTAGTCAGAGGAAATCACAGGGCCACCACCATCAACGAGTGTGCACGTCATGAGTCAAAATAAGTGACATGCACTTCACAAGTGGTTTCAATTTTCTTGTTGCAACACCAACTAGCTGCTTGATTAATATAGTCCACTATAAAGCTCAAATGTTGAGTATGTGGGACACACAATTGAACATTTTAAAGCAAGCTAAGGACATTTATTAATCTGTTGTTATTTGTTTGCTTTCAGTGTTGTCATTCTACACAATAAAAATAAAAAATTGCTTAGTACTAGTGCCGCGCATATTAAGTTTGTCCAAGTGTACTTGCCGTACAACTTTAGGCCCAGCTTTTTCATGTACGGTTTGACTATCCAAAAAAGCTTTATGGTACAGCGCTGCTGATTTAGTCCTTAGCGTGCAGAAGGCCCCACACAGTCCATCCGATTACTTTTTTACGGGACTAAAACATCATTAAGTGCTCGTTTCATGCTAAACTTGCACTTCGAAGGTATTCCTCTTAGCTTAGCTTCAATTATCTTAGCCTAGCTTAATTTAACTTGTCCTGCGAGCCACGAACGAAGAGACTCGCATAGCGGAGATCAAGTGGGAGTGTTACATGTTGTGATTATCGCGTGAAAATGTGTGATGAAAGGATGAAAGAAGAGTACAAGGAGGAGCTTTTTGGAACTAAACAGGAGAACGAACGGCAACGTCAACAAGTGAACATTTTCGAGAAACCTCGAAATGTGCACAGGGCAGGTTTGTCCACGTCTGACTTGTAAACTACTTTTTGAACATTAGATGGATGGATAGATAGATTTTTAAAATTTGTAACCCACTCGTAGCTTTATTGTAAAATCTGTGTGGTTACTACACTTACGCCGTGCCAGCTGGGGCCTTAGTGTTGTTTATGAATCCCTCGATGAGTCGAGGCATGAAGGACCACATATTCGCCCATAAAGAAAAACTGGTCTTAAGGCAAACTAAAAAACACAACAAGTGATATTCTTACCGACCCACCTCATTTAATCCTTGCAACTAAAACAGGCAACATTCAATCCGGCAACAGACCATGAAATACAACACTAATACGAGACAGAACAAGGACATGAGCTCACCCCTTACTAATATATTTTTAAAGTGCAACAGAAATTAACTGATTTAATCCACTCACCTTGTTATTTGTAATAATGGCTTCACACAGTTTATGACATAATTATCAGTCATTACTGTTGACATTATCTACTTCACATCACTTAGAACACGATCAATATACTGTGTAATGCTACAACATTTATCTCTTCCAGATAGTAATGCAAAACAGTCACAACATGAGACTTTTCCAAACCATGTGTGTGTCTTTTTGTGTTTTGCAGATGTCAGTGAAGAATGTCTTCATTCTGAGAATCGGGAGCCAGTATTCTCTCACATTAAAGAGGAAAAGGAGGATGAAGATCTCCTACACATCCAAGAAGAAGGCAAGGCAGATCCTCTTCACCTTAAAGAAGAAGCGGAGAAGGCAGAGCCCTTTCACATTCGGGAAGAGGAGGATGATATCACCAAGTTACAATTGACTGTAGTCCTTTTGAAGAATGAAGATGAAGAAGACGATGAAGAAGGTCAAAATGAGGAGAACTGGAGGGCTGAGCCTCCAAGCAGCAGTTCAAGTCAACACATGACAACCGAAATTGATGCAGATCAATGTGGACGATCACAGGATGACAGCCTTCTCGCGCCAGTTTTAGAATGTGACGAAATGGTGTCACACTCTTCTGACATTGAAGATGATGATGAACACTCTTTAACAACCCATATTAGAACACACACTGGAGAGAAGCCTTTTGTCTGCTCAGTTTGTGGTCAAAGATTCGCTTGGAAGGGGCATTTAAACTCTCACACACGAACCCACACTGGGGAGAAACCTTTTGCCTGTTCAGAGTGTGGCCAAAGATTTTCTGAAAATGGAAACTTAAGAAAACACTCAAAAACGCACACTGGAGAAAAACCTTTTGCCTGTTCAGTGTGCGGCCAAAGATTCTCTGAAAATGGGAATTTAAGAAAACACATGAAAACCCACACTGGAGAGAAACCCTTTGCCTGCTCAGTTTGCGGTCAACGATTCTCTGAAAGGGGAAACTTAAGAACACACACAAGAAGACACACTGGAGAGAAGCCTTTTACCTGCTCAGTTTGTAGCCAACGATTTGCACGGAAGGGACATTTGAATGCACACACAAGAACACACACTGGGGAGAAACCTTTTGCCTGTTTAATTTGTGGTCAAAGATTTTCTGTTAAAGGAAATTTAAATACACACATGAGAACACACACTGGGGAGAAACCTTTTTCTTGTTCAGCTTGTGACAAAAGATTCACTGAGAAAGGACATTTGAACACGCACATGAGAACACACACTGGTGAGAAACCGTTTGCCTGCCTAGTTTGTGGGAAAATATTCTCTCGTAAGGCATCTTTAACCACACACAGAAGAACACACGCTGAAGAGAAAAATAATTAACTTTTTTTGGAAGCAGTTAAAAACACTTATATTTGCTTTTAGATTCACTGTAAAGTGTTAGTCAGACTGTATATGACATATGCAGGCATTTTAACTGTTTAAAGCATATTGCGAGTGCCGTTTGTGAGAAGTGCTTTCATAATAGTGCTGTATGAATAAAATTGACTTATATTTGCCTGTTCTGTCTGTAATTTTAATTCTTCATTCCAAGTAGCAGTAGTGGGATTTCAGGGTGGAGCAAGAATTTGACAACACGAGCAAGAAGCCAAATTTGTGGGAAACCCTTCAGCTGCAATATGTGTGAGATAAATGATTCTATATTTTAACCATCCAGTTACTGTAAGAATCAAGCAGGTTGCTGGGAAGTCCAGCAGTAACTTTATTGACATAAATTGGAACAAAACTCTCTTTTTTGTCAGCTGTGAACACAGGTATGCGATCTTGAATGAAATACAAGTTTTCAAACAGTGGTACAGTGTAGGATCTATTTAAAAAGCCTCAATGCAATAAAGTGAAATTAGTATTGTTTTCAATTAATTTTAAGATTCCGTTTATTTTATAAGTGTAAACATAGTTCTTTGACTTACAATTTAGGATATAATGTGTTAGATAGGTTGGCACGCAAAATCAGCGCTTCCCAATCTTTCAAGCCACATATATGACCCCCCCCCCCCACCCATTCCCCTCTTTTTTTTTCCCAGTGCATGGGTGCAGGGTTAAATTCCGGCTCTGGCCTCCCTGTGTCGAGTTTGCATGTTCTCCCCGTACCTATGTGGGTTTGCTCTGGGTGCTCCAGTTTCCTCCCACATTCATAAAAACATGCGTGGCAAGTGTGAATGAGAGCACGAATGGTTGTCTGTCTATGTGTGCCTTGCGACTGGCTGGCAACCAGTAGTTTAGGGTGTAGCTTGCCTACTGCCCGAAGACAGCTGGGGTAGGTTCCAGCAAGCCCACGACCCTCATAAGCATCAGCGGATTCGAAAATGGATGTTTCCTGAGAACAACAAAACAAACAAACAAAAAAAAAAATCCTTTATTTCGTGTCGTTGTTTTTAATGATGTCATGATTTCAAAATCCTATTTGGAGAACAAAACATGTCATGTAGTTGGAAAGACAGACGCTTATGAAAATTCTTCAGAGTAATGATACATTTAACTACATACGGACATAGATATTGTGAACTCTA